AGATGCTCAGATTTTTTTTTCTACGAGATCCTTCAAGGTTTTTAGTTGTTCTAGTGCTTTATGTATTTATGGTTTTTCTCGGTGTATCTTTTATTTTTTTTCTTGAGGTGTATTAGTGTTGAAGCACTTAGGTGAGGAAGGAATGAAGGTGTTAGAGAGGATGTGGATAATGAAAAGTAAATTTTATATTATATATTGTATATAATGATTTAACTACATACATGTATTTCTATACAAGTTATTACTTATATCTCAAGTAACTAACATAACAATTAAATTATATCACAATACACCCCCTTATAATCCAAGTAGATAATCACAAACTAATCATAATTGATTTGAACTATTCTTAATTTCTTTCTCAAAATCAAGAATCTGTCGATCTTCAATCCTTTGGTGAAAACGTCGGCCACTTCTATTTCACTCAAGCAATGTCTTACCTTAATTTCACCTCGATTTACCTTATTCTTTAGGAAGTGAAAACTAGCCTTAATGTTCTTACTCCTCCCATCTATAACTAGATTTCTTGCAAGATTTATGACTGACTTGTTATCGATTCGCAACACTAGTGGTCTCTTTACTTCGACCTTCATCTCATCTAGCATAGATATGATCCATACTTCTTGATAGGCAACATATAATCCTGCTATATACTTAGACTCACATGTTTATAATGCCACCATAGGCTACTTTCTCGAGCACCATGAGATAAAAGCACCAAACACTTGAAATAAATAGCCAGTTGTGCTTCTTATATCCTCATTATCTCCATACATATCAGCTTGTGAATAAAAATTTATCACATCTTCTTTTCCTTTAGAATAATTTGGAAATAGGATTTTATAATTTAATGATCCTTTAGGTATCTCAGGATTCTCCTTGCAGCATTCATGTGTGACACCTTTGGTTCATCCAGATATTTGCTCACCAATCTAATTGAGAAACCTATATCAGGTATCTTATTGAACACATACCTCAGAGATCCTACAATTTTGTTTAAATAAAGTGACATCGACCTTGTCCTCGTCTCCATGCTTCTCCAGTTTCATATTTGATTCGACAGGTGAGAATGTTGGTTTAAACTAGCCATAATTAATATCTTGATTATTTATTTGAAATACTTCCTTTGACGTAGCATCATACCTTGTTTAGTAATTTGAAATTCCATACCTAGGAAATAAGACAAGTTTCCCAGATCTGACATTTCAAATTCCATATTCATCAGCTCTTTGAACTTGACAAGTTTTCAGTGCTATTTCCAGTTACTAGTAAGCCATCAACATATAAGAAGATGATGGTTATGTCTTGTGCCACGACCTGTACATAGACACCATACTCATACCTGCATTTGATGAATCCTAATTCGACTAGGTATGAGTTGATTTTCATGTTCCATTCCCTATGTGCTTGTTTGAGACCATAAAAGGCTTTATGAAACTTTTACACTTTCCTTGCTTCCTCTTGTATCACAAAACTATATGGTTTTGTGACATATACAACTTCATCTAGGGAACCATTCAAAAATATTTATTTCACATCTAAGTGAAATTCCGTCCAGTCTTGCTTGTATGCTAAGGCTGCCACTAGTCTGATAGTATCCAATCATGCAACTGGTGCATATACTTTTGAGTAGTCGATGCCTGTTATTTGAAGAAGTCCCAATGCTACTAATTATTTTCTTATGTCTTACAATCGACCCATAAGAATTGTACTTAAGTTTGGACACCCACTCCCCTTTAATAACTTTTGTATGTTGTCGATTCGACTAACTCCCATGTATTGTTTCTTTAAATAGCTTGTAACTCTTCGACCATAACTTCCTTCCATTGTTTACTATTTAAGGGCTCACTATATTTGATTGGTTTAGCACCTGCAAGTAAATAAAAATGAACTAAGTCTCCATATGGTATGACTTCATCATTACCAACCACTTTACAGTCTTGAAGTCATGTTGGGACAACTCTAGTTCTTTGAGGTCTTTGTCTTGTGCATGCCACACCCTCATGATTTTATGCTTTAACAATTGTAACATCAGTAACTATTTGGAGGTTATTAATTGGAACCTAATCATGATTAATACTTTCTTCATCAAAGTCATAACTCATCAATGGTTTTTTTATCATCAATTAGATTGAATAGCTTGTATGTTCCTGTCTTGTGATATCATACCAGTATCATAGATTCACTCTTTTCTTTATCTTTCTTCTCCTTGCATCAGAAACATGTTTCTAGTAGATAGAGCCAAACACCTTGAGATGACTCACTGATGGTTTCTTTCCATTCCACACTTCTTCAGGAACCTTGTTCTTCAGTTTCTTGGTAGGACAGTCCTTCGGGAATATAGACAACAGTAGTGACCGCTTTACCACATAAGGATTTTGGTAGGTTCTTTTACTTTAACATGCATCTAGCGATATACAATATGCCCATATTTATTCTTTATGCTACTCCATTATGTCCAGGCGTGTAGGGAGTAGTTACCTCATGATCAATACCATGTTCTGCACAGAACTTCTCAAATAACTTGGACGTGTATTCGCCATTTTCATCTGTACTTAGAACCTTGATATTATTTTCACTCATGTTTTCAACAAGTATTTTGAATCTCTTAAATGATACAAATACCTCATCTTTGTGCTTAATTAAATAGATCTAGAGTTTTTAACTATACTCATCAAAAAATGAGATAAAATATTTGTTTCCACCAATGGTATAATCCTCAAAAGGGCCACATACATTTAAATGTACTACTTCTAGTATGCAGAAGGACCTCATTGGCACCGTCGAAATGAAAGACTTTCTGGATTGCTTCCCTGCCAAGAAACCTTTACAAAGCATGTCAGGAATGAAAATTTGGTATACCAGTTACCATATCTTGAGTAATCATTTGATTTAGTGATCTAAAATTCAAATGACCAAACTTCAAGTGCCATAAACAATTATACTTGTGGTTAAAAATTGTTTTCCATATTGTACCTCAATCGAATAGATCATGGTCTTAAACGTCCTATTCTTTGATAGTGGATATTTTAACACCAAATTATTCTGAGTGTCAAATTATTTGAAGGCTCCATCTTTCATAACCACAAATAAACCTTTTTCAACAATTTTTCTAACACTTAGTGAATTGCAATTCATTCAAGGTACATAGAGTACATCTTCGATCATGGTGTTTACTCCATTTCTCTTTTGAATAACTATGTTTCATATACCTTTTGATTGCATTCAACTACTATATGCAAGCATGATCTTTCTCTTCTTTAACTCATCAAAATTTGTTAACCAGACTCTTTGACCAATCATGTGGTTTGAGTAGTCTGTGTTGAGGAACCAGACCTTGGAGTCGACATGCTCATCTGAAACTACAGCCATAAGCACCATGGTTTCAGAATCATCTGAATCTCCACGTGAAAAATTTTATCCTTCGACATTCTTTTCATTTGAATAACCTTTTACACCTTTCTTATACAAGCAATTCTTGGATAAAAGACCCTACTTTTCACAATTGTAACACTGCACACTCTCCTTCTCGAGCTTTTCTTTATGAGTCGAGGTTCTTTATCCTCTTTTGAAGGATTCAGAAGTCCTCTCATCATTCTTTTGCTTGTGAGAATCCAGCCAAAAACCTTTCTTGCTGAGGGACTTGTCACCTTTTCCTTTAAACCTGAAATTTCCATGTTTATTCCATGTTTGCGCATGTAGTGCTTGTATCAAATCTTAAACCCCTTTCCTATCAAATATCCTTAAGTCATGTGCCTCCAATGAACCAACCAAATCTTCAAATTTTAGGGTTTCAAAATTGTTAGATTCTTGAATGGCCGTGATAACATGGTCAAAGTGAGAATTCAAGGTTTTCATTACATTTTCAACTATCATTTTATCAATTAGGAATTCACCACATCCTTTCATAAAATGAACAAGATTCTACACCTTTGAGACATAGCATGCATTCTTTTCATCTTCTCTCATCTCTAGTAACTCATACTACCTTCACAGTGTCTGTAACTTAACACCTTTAACCTTATCACCACCTTCATAATACTTTTCAAGAATATCTCATGCCTCCTTTGCGGATTCAACATGAGATATTCAATCAAAAGCATCCACTACAAATTAAATACAAAACAGAACCTTGCAATATTTCTTCTTGGCATCCTTGTGGTTGATCCTCTAAGTGTCATTTGCATTCCGCACAATTTCAGAGATGTCATTAGTGACCACTTCAAGGGTTTATTGGAAACCAAACAAGAATTTCATTTGCTTACTCCCTCAGTTCCAATTTTTGCCATCAAGAATTGGAAGAGAATTAGAAATACTATTTTCACCATTCATCTTTGCAACAAATACGATTCACGATCGATGGAAATAAATCCACAAAAATGCAAATCTGGAATCAAGATCAAGAAGAACTAATCAAAACTCTAGATACCAATTTATTAGTGTTGAAGCATTTAGGTGAGGAAGGAATAAGAGTGTTAGAGAGGATGCAGAGAATGAAAAGAAAATTGTATATTATGTATTGTATATAATGATCTAATTACATACATGGATTTATATATAAGTTTTACTTGTTTCCCAGGCAACTAACACAACAAACTAAACATGAGTTATATCACAACAAGGTGGTCCATTTAGAACTCCTTGTGCTAACAATTACCAATTTTATGTACTTTGATAGTTTTCATCTCTTTATTAATATATATTTTTCCATTAAAAAAAGTATGAATGATATCATATAATATGCTAAATTATACCTTACATATATTTTCTCGGGCTCAAATACTAATAAACTTTTGTTTAATTGATATATTAAAATATCAAACAACATTTTATTCATATAAAATAAGATCAATGAACATCAAAATTCAATGATGAAATATCAAACAACATTGAATTGTGATATCAACCATCTTCTTAAATGCATTCATTAATCAAAGTACTACATGTTGAGCCTAATATAATTTTGTAACTAGATATATTTCTCAAATACTTTTGCAACTTTAAAAATTTTGCTTGCTCTCATATGTTTGTCCAAATTGCCAATTGGAAGGAGCAACAAAACTAAACTCCAAAGCTTTTCCATCACTTGTAGTAACAAGAAATGACAAACTTTGCCCTACCAAATTCTGATTGATATGCCAAGTTTGTCCTGAATTATGTGACATGGTCAGCCATCTAGTCTTAGATCCTCTAATACTCACATGAGAAACATCACCAGCATTAGCAACATTGTACACCAAAACCATCAAAAAATAAGGGTTTCCTTTAAGTTCAAACCTAACACCTCCACTTTTAACACATGGAACACGTCGATATTTAACAGGGATGACACCAGCTTTCTCTCGGGCTATAGATGTGAACATTTTATAACTCAAATTAAAGTGTTTTTTTGGAGGGTTACACCAAATGTCCGTGGTTTTGGAATAATCAGGAGGACAAAAATTTGTCGCAGTCACTGAAATTGGAGCTGCACCTTTTAGACACCATTGAGGATCGTTTACACATATTATTTGAAAACAAGCACCACAAGTAAGTCCATGGTTGAATAGAGTTGTGCTTAGTGCTGTAGTCGCAAGACCATATCCTTGTTTGAAGAGATCACCATAACCACAAGCACCCTCTGCAAAAAATACCATATGTTATATTAATCGTTAGATATTCCTCTAACAAGTGCGATAAATATACTACGAGTATAAATTGTAAATAAAAAAGAAAGGTTGATATTATAACTTACGCATGGTTCCGCCACCGGCCGCATCACCATAGAAAGTTGCATGAGCGTCGTACCAGTTTCGGTCAATGCCGCCTGCCATGGCTTGTACGAGAAGCATCATAAAAAAGAACAAAGGAACTAAAGAGTGATTCATGGTAAAAGGACACAGAAAGATGGTAGAATTGTAGGTTTGAGTGATAGATGCATGAATGATACTATCTCTAATTTTATTTATAAGAGAAAATTTATTTTTTAACTTTATTGAATAATAAATATAATTAAACTATATAATTGATCAGATACATTAATTGTTCGATGAATTTAAACAGTCAACTTTCTCTTATAAATATGAAACATTTTCTATATGCTTTTAATTAAATTATTCAATGAATCTAAATTATGTATTTAAGTTAATTCTAGAAACTAGTAATAAGATTTATTTATCATAACGTAGTCTTATATATATATATATATATATATATATATATATATATATATATATATATATATATATATATATATATATATATATATATATATATATATATATATATATATATATATATATATATATATATATATATATATATATATATATATATATATATATATATATATATATATATATATATATATATATATATATATATATATATATATATATATGACAAATAAGTCAATTATAAATAAAATTTTATTAAAATTTATAATAAATAAATAAAAGGTTTATGAACAACTCTATTTATTTATATATACTCACCATACACAAAATGAAACTTCAACTCTTATGAATTTTATATTCTGCCTAAGTGGCAGCTCTATCTATCTATATTCTTACTATACATAAAATGAAACTTAAAATCTTATAACCTTATGAATTTAGTATTTTACATACGATACAACTCTATATATCTTTTTACTTACTATACATAAAATGAAACTTAAACTCTTGTGAATTTAGTATTTATGCCTAGGTGGCAACTTTATCTATCAAAATACTTAATATACATAAAATATACATAACATTAAACTTAAATTTTTATCCTACTTACGATTCAACTAAATAAAACACGAGCTCTTATTGATTTTATATCCTACTTAGGTTGCAACTCTATTTAGATACTCCATATGCTATTCTTGAGGGAGAATTTGGTCAACCTGAAATCTCTAAATAAAAGTTTTACAATGTCAAAAATATTTCATTTTCATTTATTTTATCACTTTAAATATATATATATATATATATATATATATATATATATATATATATATATATATATATATATATATATATATATATATATATATATATATATATATATATATATATATATATATATATATATATATATATATATATATATATATATATATATTAAATTTAAAATTGTATTCAATTATATTTAATGTGAAATCATAACTAAGTATAAATTCATAACTAAGTAGATTACCATAGCAAAAATAACTAGGAATATATACTCTATAAAGTTGTTGCGCGGTTTCGATAGTTGATATCCTATTTTTTTAAATGCTCCAATTATCAAGAATATTGTGCGTTCTGTGCACGATAATGGGAGCACTCTCCTCAAGGTAGTTGATGCACCCTCTTAGGATCTAGACAATTCAAGGGCGTTAGGTGATGAAGTTTGGATACGTCCACCTTGATTTGAGTCATACCTCGGAGACAGGGATGGGAATCTTACCCGTGAACGTGGAATAACCCTATATGATGCGGAGTAGAACACAAGATGTGACCATGCCTTGCCAATCTAGACCCCACTTCGGGGGGAAATAAATTAAATGCTAACTACAATGAACAAATACACATTGATCTAATGAATACGAACCTTTTAGACACCATTGAGGATCAAAGCTGATGAACTCATTGGTTATTTACAAACCTTTGAGATGACTCTAAATGACATATCTAAAAAGAAGAATAAAAGCATATCTTTTGTTTCAAACACTGAAGAGGATGAAGATCATGGTGAAGAAAGTCTATAAGATGTTATATCCCTTGTAGGGAGAAAGTTTAATAAAGATTTATGAAGGCTGGACAGAAATTGAAAGACATATAGGTGTTAGACATCAGTCCCTTGAGCAAGAGCAAAGATGAACACAAGCCTAACAGAGGCAAATGAGCACAATGTTTTGAATGTGAAGGGTTTGGTTACATTAAAGTTGAATGTCCTATTTTTCTAAAGAAACAAAAAAAAAGGATTATCAATTGCTTGATCTGATTTTGATGATGAAAGTGAAGGAGAAATAGCTAATAAGGTGGTGGCTTTCACTTGAAAATATGAGTCTAGTGATGAAGATATCTCAACAGAAGAACTAGATGAAATATATAGACTTTTGCTCACTCAGTGGAAGGAAGCTTACTTGAGAGAAGAAAAATAAAAGAATACTATAAGTGATCTACTTATAAAAAATAAGCCTGTATCAACCATTACAGGTCTGGAAGAGGAAGTCACATTGTTAAAATTCAAACTTGATAATATGACAAAATTTGTTTTTATATCGAACTATGGTTCTGATATGTTAGATGAGATCTTGGAAGTTGGGAAGAAGTCTAGGAATATGAAGAGTTTAGGTTTTGACTACAGTTCCATTAACAAAAATTCAACATTCCCACTAAGAAGCTTGTTTCCCCTAAGAAGAAGATTGAGTTTCAAATGTGGACCACGTGTCTCAACATCCTGCTCAACAAGTATATCCTCATAACAGAGGCAATAAGAACGCATATAGGAGGTTTCACCACTATGGAAGATATGGGCATATAAGACCTTTTTGCTATAGACTGTATTGATATCCTTAAACTCCTAAAGAGTTAAAGTCATACTCTAATAGTTATGTCACTTTTGGTGATGGAGCTAGAGGAAGAATCAAAGGCATAAGAAAACTGGTTCGTCCAGGTTTCCCTTGTCTTAATATGTGCTACTGGTAGAAGGATTGACTACAAATTTAATTAATATAAGTCAACTATGTGATCAAGGTATGAATGTAACCATTAACTACTCTGAATGTATTATTTCTAACTAATATTAAGAGGTGTTAATGAAAGGATCCATACCCAGAGACAACAGTTACTTGTGGATATATCAAAATAAAGTCAGCTCTTAATATGTTTGATATCCAAGGTTGATGAGACTAAGTTATGGCACCAGAAACTTGGTCATCTCAACCCCAAGAGTATGAGAAAGATCATATATGAAGATGCTATTAAAGGATTGCCAAAACTTGAGAATGAAGAAAGTAAAATCTATGGAGAATGCCAAATAGGAAAGAACACCAAGATGTCCGACAAGAAACTCCACTATCTTGCCACCACCAAAGTTTTAGAGTTACTTCATATGAACCTCATGGGGCATATGAAAGTTGAAAGTCTGGCTGGAAAAATATATGTCTTTGTATGTATGGATGATTTCTCAAGGTATACTTAGGTCAAATTTATATTAAAAAATAAGACACTTTTGATGTCTTCAAAGAGTTACGTCAACATTTCCAAAGAGAAAAAGGGAGTGGGATAGTGGGGATAAGACGTGGCCATGGCAAAGAGTTTGAAAACTCTAAGTTCTCTAAGTTTTGCTCGCCTGAAGGAACTGGTCATGAATTATCAACACCTATCACACATCAGAACAATGGAGGAGATGAGAGTAAAAACAGGACCTTGCAAGAGTTACGTAAAGTTATGTTGTACGCCAAAAACTTACGTTACTATTTATGGGCTGAAGCAATAAACACAACTTGTCACATTCATAGTCATGTGACAATAAGATATGGAACCAAAGCTTCTCAATATAAATTGTGGAAAGGAAGAAAGCCAATTGTCAAATACTTTCATAGAGTAGTGTGCAAAATCTCACAGTATTTAAAGAGATTGATTTATGAAATTTGTAATATCTTTTTTATTACTACTTTCTTTCTTAATATATATATATATATATATATATATATATATATATATATATATATATATATATATATATATATATATATATATATATATATATATATATATATATATATATATATATATATATATATATGCATTTTTTATCGTAGTAGTTTGCACGTTTGAAACAGTTGGTCCCCTATTACAAAACTAACGATTATGATTCCTTAATTTTGATGAACTTTGAATTTTTGTGCTCTCCTCCACTTTTGCATACGTAACAAAGATGATCGGGATAAAAAATTATTTTTAATTAACTGGCAATGACGACTAAAATATTTTAATATTTAATAATGTTTTAACTTATTTAATATTTTTAATACTTTTTTAGAGAATTAATAATTTAAATTGTTATTTAATAAATTTATTACTTAACTAATTTAATACTTATAATATATACCAGAGTGAGATTCAACTTACTAAAAGTGTAAAAAAATTTAGTTTACTTCAAATTATATTATTTAGTTTAATTTTTATTAAATGATTATCGGAGTAAAAATACTAATTACCATCAAATAAAAATGTTAATCATTATATTAGATTCAATTTAAAGATTATAATTTAAAATAAGTTAACAAAAACTTACTTTTCAAATATATATATATATATATATATATATATATATATATATATATATATATATATATATATATATATATATATATATATATATATATATATATATATATATATATATATATATATATATATATATATATATATATATATATATATATAAAGTACTTTACATCTACGAATAATTAAAATAGTTGATGCAAACACTAAAATCAAACAACTTTAATCATATGACTAATCCTTAAAACAATTTTTGAAACAAGAATTATAATTGATCAAGATATTATAATCAAAATTACATTATATGCGACAAGTAATTTTTTTACTAGACGTATATTTTCACAACAAAAGCACGACTAGTAATTTTGTGACTAAATGTATGTAAACCTCTCTAAAAATTGTGCTTGCTCTTAAAAGTTTGTCCAAAGTTCCAATTGGAAGGAACAATACCGGGAAAGACTAAACTTTCTTCATTACTTGTAGTAATACGAAATGACAAGCGTTGTCCTACCAAATTCATATTGACATCCCAATTTTGTCCCCAGTTGTGTGACATGGTAATCCAGTCGGTCTTAGACCCGCGAATACTTACACGAGTAACATCACCAGCGCCAGCAACATTGTAAACTAAAACCATCAAAAAATAAGGGTTTCCTTTTAGTTCAAACCTTACACCTCCACTTTTAACGCATGGAACACGTCGATATTTAATAGGGATGACACCAGCTTTATAATAGGCAATAGATGTGAACATCTTATAACTCAAATCAAAGTGTTTTTGTGGAGGATTACACCAAATATCTACGGTTTTAGTATAATCTGGAGGACAAAAATTTGTTGCGGTTACTTTGATTGGTTTTGCACGCTTTATGCACCATTGATGATCGTTGACACATTTTATTTGAAAGCATGCACCACAAGTTAACCCATTATTGAATAGAGCAATACTTAGTGCCGTGGTTGCAAGTCCATACCCTTGTTTGAAGAGATCACCGTAGCCACAAGCCCCTTCTGCATAAAACACATATATCATATCACTAAAATAAATATTAAAGAGTTGTTTGATATTTATCCAGAGTCGTCTTAAATTTTCTAGAGTCTCTGTATAAAAAGTTGAAGTTAATTTTATTTTAGTCATGAATTGTTTTTACGAGATCTTATTTAACCGTGAAATATGTATATGGAGACCTTTCTTTCTCATCTTAATTATGAAAAATTTGTGAAACTCTGTATTATAGGCCGACTTGCACGCCCTCAAAGACGATAGAAGTATAATTTTATAACTTACGCATGGTGTCAGCACCAGATGCATCACCATAGAAGGTTGCACGAGCATCATGCCAAGTTAAGTCAATGCCTCTAGACATTGCTTGTACAAGGAGCATCATGAAAAAGAACAAAGGAAGCAAAGAGTGAGACCAAACCATGTTTAAGATAAAGACACACAAGAGAATGAGATTAAAGGTTTGAATAAACAATGCAAGAATAGATGTGGTATTTAAAGATGTGGAAATATACCATTAATTAAACAAGTTCAATGTAAGTTAAGGATTTATTTGATTTAATTTTGTAAAAAAAAATTAATGTTTAAATATTAAAATTAATAAATCATGTTTGATTAAATAATTTTATAAAATTAATTTGAAAATTATAGTTGATTTTATATACATAAAAACTATAGTAATGGAAAAAATGAAGAGACAGAGAAATGGAGAGAATCTCAACTCTAAAATAGATTTTAGAAGTTTTAATGTTTACTTTTTTGGAAAATAAAAAGAAGAAATAATAATTGTCATTAATGGTATATTTGTAATGTTGTGTAATTGGAAAATATATAAAAAAAAGTATACAAATCATTTTACTTTAACTTTTTATGAATGTAGTAGATGTGTCCAAATTACAAATGAAACCGTAAATAATATATATACAATACTTTTGTTTTTGTGTTTTATTATCCTATATATTTATTCTTTTTATAAAGAAAAATGGGTTATCCATATATTTTTTTATTGGTTGTATTCTTTTTATATTCAATTTAAATAATTTTTTATTGAAAAAATTTACAATTTAAAACTAAAAATGATAAGATGATTTTTTTTAAATATACAAAATTAAATTTATTTTTAAACAAAATTGATAAAAGAATAATAGAAAAATGTAAATGTGTACATGTTACATATCATTAAGTGTGTTCTAGAATACTTTCAAAATAATGGACAATATCAAGTAGATAATATATTTACAATTTTCGAACAAGCACATGTTACATATCATTAAGTGTGTTCTAGAATAATTTCAACATTAGATGCATATAATTTATTATTAAGTGAGATACATCTAATGTTGAATGGATCTAAAAAATAATGTGTTTATTATAAATAGGACCAAAAAAAATATATCATAAAAATTAAAATACTATACTTTTATTATAAAAAAGACTTAATAATAATTATTAGGGGAGTTAAGAGGGGCATTCTTACTCTAAGAGTAAACTATTAAAAATTACTCCAACTATTAATTTATAGTTAAAAATAATAGGTAATTAATTATCATATGACGAATTTTCTTATGTCTATCCATATTTAATTATGGATTGTTTTTAGCCATAGATTGAAAACAAATTAATGGTGAAGATTTTGAATAAGTTTTAACAACTTATTCATGGATTCCCTTCTCTTTTTAAATTATAAAATTGTTTTGTCAAATTAAGGAATTCCGTTAATTTTGTACAAACAAAAATATATATAATTTTTTATGAAACTAATTTTATTAAAAATGAAAATTTAATAAAATAAAAATAATGGTAAAAAATATAAATTAAAATTATTTATTTTCATGAATTTTATAATTTGGGTTTGTTTTAGGCAATTTTTTAAACAAGCGATTTATTGCTTAAGATTTAGTTGAATAATAGCTTTATAAACGACAAATATTTATATAATATAAATAAGAAAGAACAAGCAAGAGATATAATAGAAAAAATAAACACCGACAATGAACAAAAATTTGAGAAGTTAAAACCAAAGAATTAAGTCAAATAAATAACAAAGAAAAAGAAAAAGCTACAAATGGTAGTCAAAGGACAAAAATTGAGGCCCTTAAAACATTAAGTAATGAAAATTAATGAAATATATATTTGAAGATTGCATAAACTATAAATCTGTAAAGTCATTCAGAAATTCGTCAGAAAGGGATCTTATTGTTAAAGAGTTTTCAATGAAGATGATTGGTGGTGATACGAGAGAATTGTTAAAAATTGATAAAAATGAGTGGTTGTTATGCTAAAGTCGCGAGATAAAATAAATGAATATTTAAATATCATTTTGTTAATGAATATAGATATGAATTTAATGATATCTAAATTTATGGATATTCATATCTATTTATAAATTTTAAAAATTATTTAAATATTATTAATTTATTATATATTATATTTTTATTTTTTTATAATAAATTTTTATTTTTTAAAAAAAATTAGACTTCTTATACTTCTTTCTTTTTTTTTGAAATTTTCTTAAAAGAAAACTTTTTACTTTTCATTCAAATTATATTAGTCATTTCATATTTAAACTTTTCGATACTTCATACCTCACTTCTTCACAGTTTAACCAACTAATATATCATTCCTCTGTCGAACCAGTGTCTCCCTTCCTACTCCTCTGTCGTCTGATCTTCCATCATAACTTACAATCACATTATCTTTTATTTGTTTGGTTAAAAACGAAATGTATCGATATTATGTTTTGATCTAATTATGTTTTGGTGAATAAGAAGAAAATTAATGTGATAAAATTTTATTATTAAATTAAGAGCGAATTTTATGGATGTTATATGATAATAACATTTTGTATGTTTAAAAGAAGTTAAAAATATTTTTTTTTAAATTAATTAAAAATATATATATTATCCATAGATATCTGTAAATATCTGTGGATACCGTAAAACCCGCAGATTATCCGCTTAACGGATATCCGCATGGATATGGGGTAAATATGAATATCATATTTATCTAACGGGGCAGATACGGATATCAAAGTATTTGTTCCCATTAATATCCATTTACATCTCTACTGCCGACTAGAGTCGGTCTGATGTTGTCTAAGTTTTTTTTGGTCGTTATGCAAGTTTTCTCGATTTGCGTATTTTAAACCTTTTCGATTCGGTTCATGGATCTATTTGTTAGTAGTTGTGTTTTGGGCTTTATGATGGGTCTTTTAAGTTTTAGAAGTTATAAATATGTATCCTAAATTTTGCCCGCACTTCATATGTTTTTTAGTGTTTTTCATTTTATTTTTTATTTTTTTTCAAATTTTTCTATTTTTTCAATCTTCAAAAATTACAAAAATAGTATTTTTATTATTATTATTTAATTATTATTATTATTTTTCGTGTTTTATTTAATGCATTTTTTTAAAAATATTATTTTTCATTAAAATCATGATTTTATGCATAAAATAGTCATAAAGTAATAAAATAAAAATCAATAAAAATCTTGTTTTTCATTATCATTATTAGATTGTATTTATTATTTAAAATATTTTTTTTTTCAAATTCACTTAGCCATGAATTCATCCATATTCATTGGCTTGAGCTCTAAGAAATAGAAGAAATCATGTCAGATTAAACCCTTCTTAATTTAGCAAATCACATTCAATTTTTAACCTAATTTTTTATTTATAAATAGAGTTTATTTTTCACACTTTTAATCATCCACAATTTACAAATATACTACCAAAAAATTGTTGTTCTTCGTATTAAAAAACAACAACAAAATTCTAAACTCTATATGTGAAGTCCAACCACCGGTTCAAGTTGTACCGCTTGAACACAAAGGAAAATGAGAATGAGAAGCAACCAAAAAAACGAGAGAGAACGGAGCTCACGTTGTAGACCTCTTCTTCCGATAACGTTTGAGCCAGTAATATCTTGTCTGATTATCCTCGATATTGTAGGTTCGTGTGAATAGAAATTTCTCTATTTGAGCATAACAAACTGAAAACCTTAAATCATTAATTTTAATATTTTGTAATAATCTAACCAAAATTATAAAAAAAAAAAAAAAAAAAAAAAAAAAAAAACAAGTTTATCAAAATTTTGTGAATATTTTAAATAAAAATTAAAAGTTCTTTTTTTTATATGTATATATTTGTAAACAAAATGGTCTCTTCCTCGTCCACATTTTTTTTTCTTTTTAAAAAAAATATTTTTATTGTCTTATTTTATATTTTTAATGGGCTCTTGATTTCTAATTGATTATTAGATTTAGAGATGTTACAAGATTTAAAAAATTTATAAAATAATTTTAATCTCGTTCTAAAAGGAGGATAAGCTAGGCATGTCTATTTTACGACAAAATTATCAATAGTTTTTAAGAGCACCCTTAAAATAAATCAGTAATTTTCCTTTTCATAAGTAAAAAAATGAACCTCTCTTTTTATATGAATCACCAATTAATTCAAAAAAATAATTAATAAAAAAATGTATACATATAATAATTCTTTTTTAGTTTCTATACTTTAAATGTATATGAACATGTTTCTGTTTTTATTATCAGGTTTTAAGGTAGATGTAGTTTAGGGTATATAAATGTTTGCAAACTACAAAAGAAAAAGTTTCTTTTATATTTATTAGGTCATTAGGATACCTTAGACATGAAATCCAATGACAAAAAAAAACAAAAAAAAAACTTAATAAATAATTAATTTATTAATAAAAAATATTTATTAATTAGTTAATATTGATTAATTAAGACTATTAGGATAATTAAATTTTAATTAGCATATTCTATAATAATTATTAACTGGAATGATGACTTAATTTAATTAATTAAAGTATTTAGGGATTACTTAATATAAAATACTTAGATAATTATTTATAAAAAAATTATCATAAACATGGAATTACAATACCAAAACAATTAACAAATTACAATTAGTATTAAGGACTAATTTTGCAATGAATAGGTATTAAAATTAGGGATAAATTTCTAATTGTATTAATACAAATAATATGAGGAATTAAAATATATATGGGATTAATTATAGAACTTAATTAAATTAAGGAATAACTTTGGAATAACTTTTGGGATAATCTTAGGAATAATTAGAGATAAAATATTGAGATTTCAATGGATAAAATCGGGAGAAAAACCAGGGATAAGGGTTTAATCATAAAAAAAAATTAATTAATTTTCTTAAATTAATTAAGATTTGTTTACAAATAAATAAGGGATGAAATATTAGGGATAAAATGGGATAAACTATGGAATAAAAATGGGATACATTTTTGGAATAAAACTTTTAGGGTAGAATAAAAATCAGGATTTGGATAAAGGATAAAACATGGGTTTTTTTAATATATTTTAATAAATATATTATCACAATCAATTTATTTTTCTAAATAAATTAAAGAGATATTTTTTCGGAAT